GAATACTGAAGAGCTAAAACATTGAAACATTGAATTATTCGGTGAAAGAATAGTAAATTAGATATAATGTTAACCAAAGACAAATTTATATAAAAATACAGACTGAAAAGAGTAATATCTGAGCAAAAAAGAGAATAAAGTAATAAAATAGTATGTAACTAATAAAATGCAGAAGCAAATTTAATTAAAAATTAAAATTAAAATATTCTTACCAATGATATTATAATTACACAAAAACGATAACGCAGAAACATCTGTAGAGATGTTTCCTTTGATTTGCATGAGAAACAAGCTGAAAACAGCAGTCGTAGATTGCTACTTCAAGAATCAATGAGGAAATGCTGTTGACGTTACGTTCAACAATAACGTTTATCAAAACACTTAGTAGGGGCGATCAATTTGCAGCGATTATAGATCGCACGAGATTACGTCTCGTGATCTTGTCATGAAACGACTAATGTATTCTACGCAGCACATAAACACGATTCTCGCTTGTATTTGGTTTGCATGTGCCATGCGCTCACCGAGCTACACAGACACGTGACAGCAGCGGTCTCGCTTGTATTGGTATCCCCTCCACTACGGTACCCATGATGCCTGCGTGCGCAAATGGGCATCACTGTGTAGAAGTTGGAAGATGTTTTCCTAATTTCCTCGTCACGTTCTACTTTGTCTGTATTGTTTTCTCTTCCGCGATACATAGTATTTGCCTACCAAAGTTTCAGAGTGATACACGTGACCATTCGACCACACTTATTTTCAACAGTAACATCCTCGTCGCGGTCTACTTTGTCTGTATTGTTTTTTCTTCCATGAAAAATAGTATTTGCCTACCAAAGTTTCAGAGTGATACACATGACCATTCGACCACACTTATTTTCAACAGTCACATTAATAAATCGGCAATCGATAGAAGACCTGTGAAACGTAATAATCGTCTTCTTAACAGGTATGTCTATCAAAATAATATGAAATTCTTTCCACGAAATGCAAAGGGCTTGCACCTAAGCTTTTTTATCTCTCACGCCTTGCATAATATTTATTTGTTGAAATAAATGAACCGGGGGTCGATTGTGTTATCATGCAATGTAGTGACAATTACAAAAGTGAGCAAATTTGCTAAAATATCTACGATCTTATTGTTCAATAACCTGGTAAATTTGTAACCTCAGTTTTGTAATTTTCACAACATTACATGATGCACAATTGAACTCCTGATGATTCATAACAATACTCATACATCATACCGTGACTCTCAGCATGGTTAATTCACAAAGAATAATACTACAGTTCTATTTAATCATTGTACACAATATTTTAACATAATATTATACACACTCAATAAAATTTTATTTAATTTTATTTTTAGAATGGCCAAAGAAACTCAATCCTCTAGAAAATTTGAGGACATTAATTTCGATGATATTTGTATGGATGATCCGGATCAAGAAAACGAAAAATTAAAAGAAAAAATAAAGAGCTTGGAAAATGAATTAATCAATTTGAAAAAAAAAATCAGGTATATATTTCTTTTTTTTTATACGATAAATATAACATTTTTTAACATGACAATATACTTATAAATAAAAAAAAATTATTTCTTAGATGCAGAAATTGAAAAACTGGCGGAGGACGAAAATAAACAGTTGTCTCCAAAACGTAAGTGTAATCTTATATACGCACATGTTAATACATTAATATTATGATACTTATGAATTAAAAAAATTTTTTTTAATGAAGAAATGAAGGAAGAAGAAAAACAAAATAAACAGGCGTCTCTAAAAAGTAAGTGTAATCTTATATACGCAAATGTTAATACAAAATAATATTGAAAGATAGACATTTAAAATGATAATAAATTTTTATAGAACCTAGATGGCAAAGAGGCGGAAGAGGACGCGGAAGTTTTCGAGGCAGAAATTTCCGAAGCAATAGGTACAAAAACAACCGTGGCGGAAATAGCGGAAACTTTGTTTTTTATAATTATTCTTAATATTTTTCAAGAATTACTAATATTCATAAATTTATGTAAACTGATATCACAAGTTAAGTTAGTTTGATCAATGTTGCGTAAAGATACGCACAAACGATTATGCTAGATTTCTGGTTATTTTTTTTCTTATTTATTATTTTTTTCTTCTTTTTTAATCAACAACGCGCTGTTAATTAATTGTTACAAGAGATTGTAATTGCAGTAGATATTCTGTATCTAAAACCTTTTTAGTTTTTCTACTTATCGGACTCCCTTCCTATTCAATTATCAATAAGAATAAGTTTTAAATATAATTCTATATCAATATATATATTGATGCGCGACTATGCAAGTCCCGCAAATATCCGACTCTCGGCCACGGTTTAGATACGAGACCGTGCGTCCGTGGTTGTACGCAGAGAATGAGATGCAATCGCACGGACGCGTCAGACAGTTTCATCGCTCGCGCCTCGTAAGAGGACCGTGCTTCGGACCGTGCGTCGCCGACCGCTCGTCCGGTCGGTTCGGTACTACAAGAGCGATGCGCAAGAGCGATACAGCAAGAGTGTGATGCGCTCGAGCGAGACGTTTGAAGCGTTTATAGAACGCTTAACACATTTTATTTTTATGCCTACATTCTTCTAGGCACAGCATTGCCACGAGTCGGTGTCGAAAGACCGAATGGCTCATATGTGGCGCGCACGTTTAAGCGTGTTGGCCGCGTGATCTCCTCTCTTTCGGAGACGAATGTTGCAGGAGTAACGTCATGCGCTAACCGAACATCAACTCCACGGATGCGAGTGAAGGAAACGCAGTTTTCTCTTCCCGCTTTACTTGTACACCGTAGCGAAAATTCACGTTACGTGCCTCGATGCACGACGAATATCGTTCCTCGACGTCTCAGCATCGCACGGTCGATCTAGCGTCAGGGCGATGCGACCGAAAGGCCGCATTAAATTGGGAGAATAAGACCAAGTGTGATCTTTTACAGCAACGAGACACCGAAAAAGCCGGTTGTTCTCGACTTTTGAAAAGTCAAATAGTGTTATGTATAACTTCTCGAAGAGAGAAAATAGTAGAGTGTCGCCGACCGGATCGAAAGATACCGGCGGCAATGAGGACACGCGCGACAATTCTGTCGCTAGATGAAGTACGGCGTCTTCGGACGCTCGTGTGAGTCTCTCCGCTCGCGCGGAGTTGACCGAACACGAAGCTCCCTGGTTGATCCTGCCAGTAGTCATGCTTGTCTCAAAAATTAAGCCATGCATGTCTCGGTGCTTGCCGAATTAAGGTGAAACCGCGAATGGCTCATTAAATCAGTTATGGTTCATTAGATTGCACCCACATTTACTTGGATAACTGTGGTAATTCTGTATACATACTGACAATGAGAGATATCGCTCGTGCTTAATCAAATTAATTGGTTTACTTATTATGCCATTCGACTTTGCATTTAGCAATGATCGATAACAATTTGTGCCAGATTAACACAATTTTTGGCCCCACAGGGCAATGTACTGGAAAATTACTTATATGAATCTTCTTTGGAATTGAAGTTTTGATCACAATAATATTGTCAATCATATTTTGCAAGTTTTTAAAGAAATATAAAAATAATAACTCATATCATACACACTCTGCGATGTGGAGCTTTTATTCTGCTTATAAATTATTTGTATAGAAATTTTGAAAAAAGTACAAGCAAGGTATAAATATAAATGATAAAGAAAAAAAATGTGTTATTCATGCAAGAAAATGTTAATCGAAACGTTAACTTTTTAAGGTAGTTGTCTCATAAAATAAATTTTTTACAAATTGATCCAAATTTTTACTAAATCTTTATTGAAATAATATCTAAGGTCTTGCAATAAAAAAATTTACCGTTTAGAAGCTGATCGCAATTGTAATTAGTACTTTTAACACGTGTTGCATACACCATACCGAGGTTAACATCATATTTTTAATTTTCTTGAAAAAACTACATTTAAAACTTTAATAAAAAATAATGAGCATGTGGAAGACAAATAAATAAACATTAAATAAACAGCATTTAGTTTCAATATTATAATCGTAAGAAGCATATGATTTTTTATATCTTTCGACGTATAAAAAACTCAAAGATGTGAATCACGATATACAATTCTTATATATGTAAGTGCCCAGTAAACATTCGATATCCTATGTGTATACATGGAATATCCATAATGTGAAAAAAACGTACTGTATATACTATGTACATACATAGAATATACAACCTAATGTTTATTGGGTACGTAGTAAGTGAACAAACAAAAATTTACTCTAGCAAGTGCAAGTAATTAATTTATTAACTACTTTTAAATTATTATTAAACTTTTGATTGATCCTTTTTAGTAATAAATTGTTTATATAATAAATTAAATAATAATTATATATCTAAACTTTATTATTTGAGTTTTTTTTAATAAAAAGCTTAAGACTTTGGATCACACTCTCGTGAGACAACTACCTTAAGTCATCACAAAATTTAGGAAGATGTCTAATAGATTCTGACACCTTATTAGAGATGCAATATATTATGCAACAGCACTAAGTGCTAATTATCAGTGAAATTCGAGTAGACTGAAGCGACATGGATGCGGTTCGTTTGATTGCGGAATCGCGCGGTCCGACGATCGATTCGACCTTCGAATTGCTCAATGAGGGAAATGTGTACATCATCGAGTGACGATCATTTAAAATAACAGTATTTCAGCATGTAAAATTGTCCAATTTTGGATGACCAAAACATTTGTAATGTAAATGTAGGAATAATTCTGCACACAAATTTCAATTTTAATTGAATATTATGTCATTATTTGTATTACGAGAAATGTTTATAATTTGAACAAAAATTAAAAACTCAAGGATCTGTTTGAAATATTTTAATTTCAAGACTTTTCTGAAGATTCTAATTCAATTAGTCAACAATTAACCTGCATTGAAAAGCTTAAAAGACCGAAATTTCTCTACGCTTGCATTGACCGAATTTCATTCTGTGCATTTATAGGGAAATGGGTCATGCGGTATCGCAGCATCAGCTTTCATCTCTCGCTCGCACACCTAGCCGATGAACAGCGATCAGGTAGCGCAAGACTACGGTGAGAATGAGCACGTAGGGCATGCGGTCGCAAGGGCGGCGAGTAAGGGAGGATCGGCGGAGGGTGTGTTCGTCGGCGCTGCGCTGGCTGGAGAACAGGTACTCGCCGTAGGCATCGTACGTTCATTGATAAGCGTATAACGCCCCGCGCCTTAGACCCTGGTGACGTCATCGGACGCCTGCGCAATGTTGTGCCGAGTCCTGAATCGCAGTGACGCCCATTAGCGTCGCAACGCGACCGGTTTTCCGATTTATATCGTGTGGGCGCAAAAGAAATTTTTTTCTCGTATAAATCATACATAAATTTATCTACTCGTAATATCTACAGTTGAAAACGTTCGAACGCGTATTGTTACTTATTCAAATATATGATGTATTAGATATTATACATGCATAATGCAGGGACTAGAGAATTGCATTTTTCATAGACTACGACAATGCTCTTATGATTGTCGACTCTCTGCATTGTAATTGCTTCTTTACAACTGACTGTTGTCATTGAATAATAACGGGACATTTTTCTGTGAATTCATTAAAATCATTTCATTAGAATCATTAAATTCATTATAGATTATCAAAATTAAATAAAAAATATAACGCAAAACTTTTATATTTTCAAATATTAATTAAAATAATTAAAAGCGTCGTGCTTATCGCCTCATGAAGTTTAGTGCGATGAGCATTTGGAGTTTCTCTGGGATGAAGTAGGTACGTTCCTGGTTGATCCGGTAGGATCGTTTTAGACTGCAAGGGAGGTGCTGTCGTCTCTCCCGGCACGGGGAAATTTCGGACAGGCGTGCGTGCGTGCGACGCCGCGTTAAAATTAGACCATTTCTCCGGGTCCCCCTCCTCTTTTCGTATCTATCCACGATGGCTGTTCGTCCACGCGAGAAAAATCGCGCGAGAGGAGAAAGCACGACGGGTCAGAATGAAACGAATGGAAGGGAGTCGAGGAAGAGAGCTAGATAAATGAAATAAATGTGAACGGTATGGAAAGAGCCGAAGGAGAAGGGCAGATAGGGATGAAGGGTCGGCGGCGGGAGAAGGCGGCAAAGAGGGAGAAGCAGGGAGAGGAGAGAAAAGGAAAAGGAGGAAAGACTCCGAGAGGAAGAGAGAGTGGAGATATCGTAGGATCACCTCCTGCGTATTGATTGGTCTTTTGTGAAAGCTACACCCCCTTGTAGCCGCGGCGCGAAACCATTTCGCCAAGTCACTAGTCTTCCAGGGTATCGGCCGCCAGGGTGGCAATGCCGCCATGTTCAGCGCGGTCAATCGAACCCTTTAACGCCGCGTGCGAGTCGTCGCGGCCGGCCGCCCCTCGCGCGCCAAAGATAATGTCGCGAACGAGCGAGCGAACCGGCAGACACCCCCGCGAGACGATGACGAGAAGCTCAACCCCTCTCGTTCTCCCCAGATCGACGAGAGCGAGCAAGCGAGAAGTGACGTAAGGGAGATCGTGCGACGGACTCCGGCGATATAGCGACTCTATATCGGCATCGATCGCTGAGTGACCCATATCTGGCGGTGACGGGAGCCCCTGCCCTCTCCCTTCCAACCCCCTACAACGCTTCTCGTATCCTGGCGCGCGCGCCTGCCCTCTCTCTCCCTTCGATCGTCCCTCGTCCGCTCGCCGTCCCCTGCACGCCGCACGGAGGTGCACCTTCGCCCCACACGGGGCTGCTCTGCCCCCACTCTACCGACACCCCCGACGACGGCGAGCGACCACCACCATCGTCCCGTACCCCCGACTCCAGCAGCCCTGCCTGCCTTCCACGGCCGAGCAGATCTTGGGGGTTGTACGGGATGATAGCCGAGTGAAAAAGCTTGGCGAGTCCCAAGGAGAGTTCGCTCATCAGCAGCAGCAGCCCTGGCCTGCCACAATCCCTTCGACTCGGTCATCGTAAGTGTCGCGTGGACGAGAGGTAGTGTGCGAATCGTGTGTGAAGTGGTGAGGGTTGAGCGCGAAAGAGAGAAAGAGAGGCATGAGAGTGAGAGCGAGAGAAAACGTATGCTGGAGAGAGGAGTGCCTGAAGAGAATCGAGCGAGTGAAAAGGAGAGAAACGTGAAGCTTAATTAACCGTTCGACGCCGAGCCGACGGTTCGATTTTCGCGACACCGAGAAGACGACGAGCGAGCGAGCGAGCGAGCGAGCGAGTGCCGCGAACACGAGCGAAACGTCGCGATAAGAACGATATCCTCGGACGTTCATTCCGCGTGTAACATCTTCATCGCTAGTGCACCTCTGCGGTCGATCCGATCGACTCGCAAGCCCGATGTGTCGGGGCTCACAGTGACAGTTCATCCAGGAAGAGTGTCAGTGGTGAAGATGACAGGTGACAGCGATAGCGGTAGCGGCAGCGGCACCGAGACGGCGGACCAGTATGGCGGACGATAATCGTGGAGTGTCCGGTGGTGCCACCGCCGTCGCCGCCGTCGCCGCCACCACCGCCGCCGCCGTCGCCGCCACCGCCGCCACCGCCGCCGCCGCCGTCATCGTCGTCACCGTCGTCGTCGCTGCCGTCTCACCGCCGCTGCTCGTGACAGTGGTTGCACTACGTGCCCGCCGTGCAGTGGCGTCCGGTGCGCACCGTGTGCACATGTACGCTACGTACCTTTCGCCCTTTAGTGAGATCAATAAGCAGTGCCGTGGCCACTCGAGCCGTGCCCCCCGCCGAGAAAGTCGTTCCGAGTCTAATGTTCCTCGTTCCCCGGTTCTGATCGCCCCCCTCCCCCCCCCTTCCTCCCCCGCTGCCGCTGTCGCGCCGCTGTTTCCCCTTAATGTCGCCTTGACTTCCAATTTCGATTTCGAATCGGGCATCGGACGTCAAGCTGTCAAATTTCCAGAAACGACTGGCCTTTCGAATCGCCGTCGTGAACTGTGACTGTCAGTGAACCGGAAGTGCCAGTGTCGGGACGGGAACTTTTTATCTTTCGGACTATCAGACACGGGATTTTTTTCAGACTACTCCGCTTTCGGGCACCGTGAGAGAGTGCTCCTTTCCGCCCGCTTTATCTTCGCGTATTATCAGTCGCTATCTTGTCCGCCATCGGGGTGTTTCTCGATATCGCCTCGATTCGCCTGTTCACGCAGCACTTCTCATCCGCATTTTGGATTGCATTATTGCCAGCCAGCACCCGGTAGGATTTCACACCGTTTCCTTATCTCTATCTCTTTCCATTCCTCTCTCTCTCTCTTTCTCTCTCTCTCTCTCTCTCTATCTATCTATCTATCTATCTATCTCGCTTTGCTTCTCCGCCTGTCCACCTTCGTTTTCTCCTACTTTACATATTTCTTCGTTTATATCGCAACTTTGACCGCTTTCTTGGCTACTTTGTCGCGACTAGGTTGATTTTATCCACTTCTATACGTCATTCCGTTCGACTTGTGTCGTTATCAGCCTCGTGAAATTTGTGGTATCGATCTCCCGCGACGACTTGCTCTCTGTGCCTAATCTAAGTATCTAAAAGTATCAAAAATCTCATCTCGTCAAGAAGTCATTTATCTAACGGAGATTATCGCAACGTGACCGATTCTCAAACGAGTCTTGCGAGCCGGAAGAACGTGTCAAATTTCTTGACACATGTCAAATACTCTAACGCGTGCAAATGACAGCTGATCGTGAATTTCACCCGCTTGAAAATTTCGCTAACATAAATTCAAAATCTTTCTGCAAACTTTCTTTCTCTCTTAATTTATACGTAATTCTTTTCCGTGCAAATCACATTTATCAATGATATTCGAACGTACGTGGTTTAAATCAATCGTCTGCACTCGACATTTGGTTCGAGGTATACCGGTAGTCAAAGGGTTAACGAACCGAGCGGGGAGAGTTCCGCGAAGAACAAAGTAACCACGAAGTAACGGCGATAAGATGTATTTACCTAAGCCGCGAGAGCTGAACCGCGTGCGGCGGAATAAAATCGATAATTCAGCACTAATATAGAAGTCCGGCGTTAACTTGCGATGTTTAAATGGAGGGGCGGAAATGTTTCTATCGAAAAATACGACATTTCCTCCCTCGCAGAATTGTACACGTCATCGTAACGCTAAAATATGCGCGCAACATACATAAGCTTATTATTTTTTATTTTATGTGCGCAACGGAAATTTTTTTTAATAGTATTTAAAAAAATCTCAAGATAGTGATTCTTCGATTCGTATTATTTGATTCATTTTGGTTCTCTGTGTGTGTGTGTGTGTTGTTACATCAGATTACACACTGATTGTTCGTCAACGCGGTAAATTTGTAAAAGGCGGAAAAGCGGATAATTTCACCGATCGTTGCTTTTACTGTGTTCGTAAGTGTTGAGAAACAAAGAGAAACAAAGAGTAGGAGCATGCACAGTAATTAAATATATCTAGAGGTAGAAGCGTGTCCGAGAGAGTATTACTATTAAATCACGTTAATAGAAAGGTGATGAAAGAGAAAGAAAATGAGTGGCTACGTTTAGCGAGATATATTTCCTTTGCACTTCATTGTTAATTACAGCGCGTGTGAATAGTTTTCTACAGCACATTACACGCTGCTACATCTGTTATCGCATTTAATCTGTCGGTAATAAATGTACTTGAGTTAATGATACATATATCATTTTCAACATTTTTTACAATTTAAATCATTTTATGCCAATATGATTTCTTTGTTAAAACGCAATTTTCTCTTTTATAATTATTGCATTTTTATTTAAAAATATCTTTAAAAATTCTCGTTACTTATATTTTTATGAGATAAAAAATTTAATAGTGATCATACTTTTTCTTCCTGGATTTCGTGTTAAAAATCGATAACTGATGATATAACTTAATATTACATTGAAAATTACGTTCCATCTCTGACAATGAAAGTGAAAAACAAGAAAAAGAAAGCTATCCGATCAATTGACCGTTACGACAAAGTTCACTGCATTTTTATCTCGATAACGCCCGAGCCAGCGGGGTGAGAGTGCAAAACTTGCGATGCGCGTAAAATCGCTTATTGAAGCTTCGAAAGAGGCACGTGTCATTTCTCGTGACGTACACATTTAACGAGATTCTCTCCCGAGTGCAGTGTATGCCTGTGTACGTGTGTCTGTCTCTGCTGTGTGTACATGTGACTCTCAATCGCAGCTACTTTTCGCGTGGAAACCGCGATCGAGCACTTGGCCGCACGCGACGCGTTAACACGAAATATCGTAGAGTTGTGCAACGCGGCTGATAATAACGCGTGCGTTGTAGTGAACACTCCGTGCCGTCATTGTAAAGTACATGTTCGCGGTCGGTCGGGCTCATTGCGGCGATCGTCGACCATAAAGTCGCGAGCCGGAATGAGGATTTCTACAGGCGGATTACAAACTCGATCGAGTCCCTCTCGCGCGAATACCTGTTGCCAATAATCACGTCTATTGAATTCCTCATTTAATGACAAACTGTCACAGTAAATTTGACATAGTTTCAACTGCTGCGTGATAATTAAATCATAGATTCGCCGAATCTTCTATTCGACAGAGAAGTAGAATCAAAACTGAGAAAAATGTTTTATCGTTATGAAATAATTGAAAATGCAAATGTATTTTTTCTTTGCTGAGCTCTAGTCAGAAATTTTAAAGCTTACAGCGTGTCACATAAATATCTCAAGTTTAAAGACGACACATGGGGAATGTAAGAAAATCGCACTGTTTGAGAGCAACATTGCTAAATAATTAACTAAATCGATGCCTCATTCATTGCTATATTTAACTATGATATACATTTTACAGTTTATCGTAGATTATCGTTTCAAGTATATCGATAATTTCACGCATCGAACATTCACCCCATTTTCTGAGTCTGAAAATAGCCACCACTCTTTAGCTAGATTTAAGAAATATTTTGCATACGTGCGTTTTCTCCTAGGATGATCCCATATCTAACTGCGAATCAGCCGGTCCGATGCGAAAGAACACTGGTATCCCTTAAACGCGAGGTTCCCTCGTTTCCGAGAGCTGCGAGAACAACGTCCGGCTCGTGTTCCCGAGGCGGGGCTCGCACGTGGCGGGAGAAATAAGAATTCCCTTTCGCACTGCACTAGAGTCGCGCTGTTAAACGTGTGTGTGGGATCGTCGTGCGGTGCGCGGCGCGGGCTCGGCAGACCGCGCAAAGGCCGCCCAATTAATTAAGATAGCTCCTAGACACACACGCTAGATCGATAGGGACCGGCCGCGATAAAGACTGGCGAGGGTCTCAGACTTCAGGGATGTTGCAGTGCTGTGGTGTTGGAGGTGGCGCTTCCACGGCACCTCCGCAGCTGCAGGGTACCGGGTCCGCTCTCGGGGCTACCACCTCCACGAGAACCATCATGCAGGACGCAGTTCTCGAATCCATCCTGGAGGTGAGCTTCATTTTATTCCTTATATCAGAGATGGGAATTTGTTGTTGCAACTTTCGGCTCGATTTTCTGACTGACGCCTCCTGCCCTTTCCTTGCCGCTCGCATGCTAGCAACGAGTCGCCAACGCGCTAACAACGCGCGTAATTAAGGTGCACGATATTCAGCCTTAGGAATGTCCATATCACAAATATCGCATCAAGATAATAAATATGAGATAAATATAGATTTCCACATCACTTGTGAGGTACTATTGTTGAAGAACGTGTCGATAATAGTACCTCACAGGTGATGTGGAAATCTATTGTCCCAAATTTATTATCTTGTTGAATTTGTGATATGGACATTCCTGAGGCTGAGTATCACGCATCTTAGTTACGGGCGTTGTTAGCGCGTTTGGTGACTCATTGCTAGCATGCGAGCGGCAAGAAGGGAACAGTAGGCGTCAATCAGAAAATCGAGCCGAAAGTAGCAACTAATTCCCATCTCTGTCTTATATAATTCATCAATCTTGTAACGCCACATTGCAATTCGTGTAAAAACTACACGACGATAAAGTGATGCTACAGATTTGGTGGGATAATTTGTCAAAATTTGCAAGTAAATTTTTTACTTTATAAGAAGTTATTATTGCTAATTGCTTTTTACATTATCAGTAATTATATATATGTTCAATTTGTAATATTATTAGATAAAAGAGTTAAATATAAAAGAGATCAATAAAATTGTCGAAATGTTTAAAAAAAGTTTTTATTTATGAAATTAATCTCTGAACATGCTGCTTTTTTTAGACCAAGGAAAAACTGAATCTTTCATTTAGAATTCTTGGAAAGATATTTTCGGCAAAACAGGGGAATATTATCTCGCAATTATAAACCAAAGATTAAAGGTCTTGTGTGTTTGTGCACTGATATTAACGAATTCGCGATTGCGGAACGCGTGCGTGCGCTAAGTTCGTCGCGAACCTAAAGTCCTTGAAATTAAAGCAGATTACGTGGAAAGGTAATATGCATGTAATCAATACACACATACGCGCGCGCGCGCGGGCGCAAAAGTTACGTGTAAACCGTCGACAATGAACCGCGGTCCGTGAAAAGCCCTCTTTCACTCCCGGCGCGGTGCTCGCGGATACTCGATAAAGCACGCATAATATGAAAAACAAAAGTTTTTATTAATGCGTTCCGGTTGCGATTGCTCGTTCCCGGGAAAACTTTAATTCGCGGCATTGGCGCGCGAAAAATAAACCACTTACACTTTGTTAACGATTGAAATTTATATCTTCCGTACGCCGCCGGCCTTCGTTTTACAGCGCACTTCAGCAATCTGTGCGCGAAAAATTAATGCTGACCCGCGACAGAAGTTTATAACCGCAATTCTGATAATTAGGCGATTAATTCCGCGTAGTAATAAGCAATTATGCAGATCAGTGTTGCATCATAATTGGCCGCTAATTAAAAACAAGGCATTAAAGAGGATATATCGTTGAGCCTCTGATCTATCGAGACTTTTTTTTTTTTTTTTTTTTTTTATATTATCCCATGTAAGACTTTTCGCTACATTATATACAGCGACATCAGTTGCACACACCTTCGGGCAATCGGAACACAAAAGGCTCTCTCTTTCATCGCAAACGTGACGTTCTTGTCGTAAATTGCGTCCCCAACTAGACGTCGCTCCGGGTTATTAAGAACTGAGACCATACAAGTCAAACCATCTTTTTTTATTCATTATTTCTATGTTCTGGAACATATTAGATAACGATATAAAATTATATTTCAATATCTCATTGTTGAATCTCGTATATCAAACGCTAAAATATCATATCCAGATTCAATTTTTTATTTTTAATTTAAAGCACTTGTAGAAATTTTTCTCTTGCACAAAATCCAAGTCTCGTTGTACGTGATTGAAAACAATAAACCGCTTGCAGGTATAAATAGCCACTCTTAATCGAGATACGCAATGTTAATAAACCGCTACGTGTGTACGTAACCGCATGTCGCGTAATGTCAATTACGCGCTAAAGAGAATGTCGCATCTATCGGAATGTTGACGAATCCATTTACGCAGAAACGCTAATTATACGATCGATTTGTTCAGCAAATGCGGGAGACGGAAGCCCGGCGAGCGGAGCTGGAGAGGCAGCACGCGGATGCACAGAACCAGCTGCGGGAAAAGCTAGCAGGACGCTATCAAGGCCCGGAGTCGGTCGAGGCGTTGCAGTCCAAGATCCGGGAACTCGAGAAGAAAACCGAGCTGCAAATGGTGAAACACGAGGAGCTGTCGCTGGAGCTGACCAGTCTGAGGCGTGCGCGCAGCAGAGGACCGGTCGTGGGACACATCACGTCCTCGAGTGTCCCGACGGCCACCTGGCCCCCGACTGACTCCGAGATCGATAGAATCATCGCCAAGATCGAACAGAACAACAGGTATGCGACAAGGATCGATATGAAATTCTTTACTGGGAAAAATCTCTTTAAATTTATTCAGAATGAAATAGTGAAGGAGGCTAATGTGATCCGTTGTGAACTTTATATAATTCAAGTCAATTCAGTGCCGGCAGAATATTACACGAATTGGATCACGCGCGAGGCGCAATAACCACGCAGCAACCCTCGGCCACGCAAGGTATCCTTCGGTCCAGCTCGGAGAATCTTCCCAACCTTGGCCATCAACATCCACCTCATCCGCATGCCCTCAATCTCGGAATACCTAGCCAAATGGGCCACGTACGTGTTTTTCGTCAGATTTTATTTTTCTTAATATTGTGAGAGAGAAGTTTGATATTAATAACAGACGTAAATAATAAAATAATATGATAAAAATAAAATTAGCTACATAATTGATATAATTAATATATACATTACATTATAATAACAATTAATAATTAATGATAAGGACAATATTTAAATTCTTTGAAACTGATCATTTATCTGTAAATTTATTCCGCTCGTTTTGTGCCGATTTTTCATAATTTTACGCATCTTGTGTATCTATTTTTTATATTTAATGAAAAATTAGCTTTTAGCAATCTAAATTAACATTCCTGAGAAACTGTGACATGTTTACCGATCGTTTATAAGATTTATTCGAACAGTATGCAGGTTCACCAATGCCATTAACGCCGATGATGCCTGGTTGTCCTCCACTGACGCCGAACGGACCACCGTATCACTATAGCGAGCCGATACCGCCGGCGCCGTCACTTTCCAGCAGTCAGTCACAGCCCGCTTTCCAGCAGAAGCTCCAGCAGTACCAGCAACAACAGCATGAAATATCGAGTTCTCATTCTCAGAGCGCTCTGCCGTCGCAACAAAAGCAACAGCAACAAACGCACACATCACACTTTAGCAATCAGTACCAAGAAAGCTATCCGCATACACAAACGTATCAGCAACCGCTTCAGCAGCAGCAGCAACCGCAACAGCCGCAACAACCGCAGCAACAACAGCAACATCCAGCCTCGACCACGTACCTGACATCGGCCAGCCAGAGTGTGATACCTCACTACACACAGCCTGTCCAGACCGCCCAGAATTATCAGTTGAATGGTAGTCAACAGGTGTGTGTCGTCAATTATTCAATTGCAAGTACTTTCTTATAAGCGGGAAAACGAAATAATAGATTGCCGGAGGCCTATAGATAGCCTAAAACAGATTGCGCCGTTTTCGATATTCACTTACAGACCGCCCGCTTAGAGTGCATTTATGATATTATGTATACAGAATTATGATTGTACCGTAACATCGCTAATATCAATGGTTGCAGACACAATCTTTGAAAATCTTACAACGATTGATTTTGTATCGCACGCAGGCAACGACATATCCTAGTTTGTCCATGGCGTCGCATCCGAATGGGACTTACAGCACGGGCGCGACCAGCTACAACACTCAGTTGCCGCATCACAATTACACCGTGCCGCAGACAAATATCACACAGTCCTCGCTGCCGCTGTACTCCACCACGTCTTATCATTCCACCCTCGGGGGCCTCACGAGCGTGCCCCAGTCCGTTCTTCCATATTCGACCGGTCAGAGCACCTTCGCCACGAGTGGATCGACTTATTCCACTACCGTCGGGACCAACGCTTTCGGAACATCGGGCGTAAGCTCAGGTTAGAATCACACAAGCATCTCCACAAGATTTCGTACAGCTCTTTTTAAGAATACGAAAGAATAATTAACATTTGTTTCAACTTTTAGAAGAGATTAATCAAAGTGTACTTGCTATACTGAACTTTTCGATCGATCACATTGTCTTTGGTCTAAAATCTGTTTTATCGGATAGCGCGGCGAGCGTTTGTAACATTTATAACGATCCTAATAATGACGCGCGATGCAGGTTCTTCTTCGGGAGGCCTGTTACAAGCAATAGGCGATCCACTGCAAGCGATGCAGCAACTTTCCGCCCAGTCGCAGGCCAATCAACTTCAGACGCAGGCGATCATCCAGCAGATTCAGCAGAGCTTGCGCGCCAGCTCGCCGACCGCGCCCGGTACCGCGACCGGCCACCACTTTCTCGGCGGCCCTAGGCAGATGCCGAAGATTCCGACAAGTATACTGACAAATCCGCTGGACCGACTGACCAACCCCGATGACATCATAACCGAGGGTCAAGTGGATATGCTGGACGTGCCTGGCAAAGGCAGATGCTACGTTTACATAGCCCGCTTCAGTTACGAGCCGTTCCAACACTCACCGAACTCGAATCCGGAAGCGGAACTGCCGGTCCAGGGTGGCGATTACCTCTTGGTCTGGAGCCAGCCCGACGAGGATGGCTTTCTAGACGCGGAAACACTCGACGGTAGACGCGGTTTAGTGCCGGCCAATTTCGTGCAGAAATTGGTTGGCGACGATCTGTTGGAGTTCCATCAGGCCGTCCTCGGTCTTAGGGACGTGGACGATTCCGCCTCGACAAATATTCCTCAAGTGAGCAATATAAAAGCTAACGAGGTACCTAACAAAGCACTGCACAAAGCATGTTTATATTTGCATTTCACTGCTTTTATCACGATAAACAGAATTGACATTGATTATAAAAAGTAATATAAAAATATATGACTAAAATTGAGAAAATATTTAACTGAATGATAATAATAATCAATAATTTTTGTATGGAAATAATTTCAATCTTGATTTGATCTATTTCAGTGCTATCTGCAGGATATTGATCTGGAATTAGCCGCATTGGAAGAAGGTAACCGGAACCGTCAAGCAGAATTATCCGCGTATGCGGAACTCGACAATATCGCGGAGGAGGATGAACAAGAACCACCAGGTTAGCACGCTTTACCGATTTATTGTAATGCTCTGCGAGATATTGCACGCATAGCAGACGCATGTATAGCAGATGCATGTACAGCGCTGAATTTAAATGAGGAAAGACATAAATCGACGTCCGCAATCCAGTAAATGTTTAAATGTACTTGGTACTTGGATCAATTGATAATTCCGCTTTTGTGTGTTTAAAAAAGACTTTCCGATAACTGTACGTGTTTCCGAAAGTAACGCGATTGTGATGCAATTGTACAAAGTTGTTAGATAAAACTTGCTTTCATAGTTTATCGATCCCCGCTTGAAGCAATGCTTAATATCCCAAACCGATGCCAAGTTATCTTTAGTGTGCGTCTATAGCTCCTTCCTTTCCTATATTTATCACACGATGGTAATTTGAAGTCGGGATGGAAAAATCTATGCATGCCACACAGTGAACGTCCACGCCTCAATCCCGAATCGGTTTTCACGAAGTGAGTAATCACAGAGTAAACGGGGAACGCAAGGAACTGAATCGTTGCACTGTATTAAGTGTTGGCTGGCTTAGAGAGATAGACAATAGTGAGAGATCCTTAGCTACAGCTAGGCTTTGTCTTTGTCTTTTCCTCCTGAAGAAGTCTACATGTTTTCGGACCTAGTTCCGGCGCCGCAGCACCTCACGCTCGAGCGGCAACTCAACAAGAGCGTGCTGATCGGATGGACGGCACCCGAGAACACGCACCAACTCGAATCCTATCACGTCTACGTGGATGGCGTATTGAAGGTCACGGTGAAGGCCACGGAGAGGACCAGAGCCTTGGTGGAGGGAGTCGATTCCACTCGGGTTCGTAGAAAATTTCAATTTTATTCATTCGCGAGGTTTCTCATTAAAATTATGAAAATATATGATATATCAAACTCCACGGGAAAAATTGAATTACATATCTCGAATTTCTAGTAATATAATAATTTTGTAATTTTAGAACAGATGTGTGAATAGATAAATTTCTACGAAAATAACAAATCGAATGTATTTTTCTATTCCACATCTTAATTTATTTCAAAACCGTTTTGAAAACGTGTTACGCTAATGCAGCCTCACAGGATAAGCGTGCGCTCGGTTACACACTCAAGAAGGACATCGCGCGACGCTGCTTGTACGATGGTGATCGGTAAGGACGTCGCGCTGGGTCCGACTGCCGTTAAGGCGTCGAATGTCACGGCGACCAGTGCTGTGATATCCTGGCTGCCCAGCAACAGCAACCACCAGCACGTCGTGTGCGTGAATAACGTGGAAGTGAGAACCGTGAAGCCGGGTGTTTACAGGCACACCATCACCGGCCTGGCCCCATCGACGATATACAGGGTGACCGTGAAGGCGAAGAATCTGCGGGCGACGCACTTCGAGGACCAAAACGCTCAGGCGGCAAACAATCTAGCCTGCCATGTCCACTTTAAGACGTTGCCGAAAGGATTACCGGATCCCCCGGTCGATATCCAGGTTAATAGTACTACTTCGCATATTTAATATATTTATAATTTACGAAACTGTAAGATAAGAAAGGAAATCTGTAACCAGAATTAAATGCCGAATTTCTGTCAATGCATTCTAGTACCGATGAAAAAAACCAATCTAAATTTCTAACCAACATTAATGGCGTATAATGTCGTCCGATTGTCAGGTGGAGGCTGGACCGCAGGACGGCACTTTGCTAGTGACCTGGCAGCCTGTTGCCCTAAACGGTTCGGCCGTCACCGGTTACGCGGTTTACGCCGACGGTAAGAAGGTCACCGACGTCGACAGCCCCACCGGCGATCACGCGCTCGTCGATATACACAAGCTCATGGGTCTCAATCCGAAGCACATCACCGTCAGAACCAAGAGCAGGGAGAGCCAGTCGGGCGATAGTTGCGCCACGGCGATACCCTGCAGCGTGCTTCGCGGTGGTGCAGCCGGTCACGTGCCGTCCCACGTCGGGCCTCAGCACATGGTGGACCAGCGGCAGCAACCGCAGCCCACCGGCATGGTGCAGCAACAGGACGATCCGAATCGCCATCGCATGGGCGTGGGTCAGCGATACCCGAACGCACCCGTGCCCTCGCACATGCGACGACACATGGGCAACAGAGTGGACGCCCACGGCCAGGTTATCATCGAGACGGATGAGAATCTCTCCGACAAGGAGATCTACCCCGGACAGAGCATTGCTCAGATGGGTAAATACATACATATGGGGAGCTAGAAAAGATGCTAAAAAAAAAAAAAAGAAAAGGACAGGGAAATCTGGGTTCGGTTTCTCGGCGAACGACCGCCGCGAGAGAATCCAGGCTCCTCTGTGCGATTGAGCAAGTAGTTTCTGCTTAATCGCGATTTGTCAATGATTCCATTTAGGTATTCCAGAGATCACGAAAGACTCCGCGAGCGAGGCTAATTACAGCGAGGAGGATGATCCCGCGCGAAGGCGGGGAATGCCGCCGCAGCATCACGGTCCGCATCATCGATACGGTCCCCAAATGGACCCTCAGGGCCCGCCTGGAGCGCATAGATCGCCCAGCATGGGCGGTCCCAGTAGACCTCAAGATCCTTATTACGATCAAACGGGTAGATATGCAGTGCATATGCAATCGTTGTTGTGATGGGACTTTTTTCTAATCAGTGTCTACTCTTTAACAGCAATTTCATTTTCACTCTCTTTTTACAAAATCTTATGTTAACCAAAAATATTTTCAATCCTCCTCGCTGTATTTCCAACTATCTGTCGTATGTATGTATCTACAACTATTCGCCACGATAATATACAATTTATTTTTTATGAAACTTTTCTACTACTGGAATACATGTATATATATATTTTTAATTTTTTTATTTTTAATAGAAACATAATTGTCTATTGATGTTAAATGTTTGAGATGGATAGACAAGAGTCACGTATTATTACGCCCACTTTTTTTCAATATTATTCAGGATCTCAAAGAGGAAGGGGACCGGTTTACCGCGGTGGAAGAGTAACGGTAGCTCAAGGTGGCGCGGGTCACCCGTCCAGTGCTCAGCAAATGAACAAGAGGCAACGATGGTTCGTGGCATTGTTCGATTACGATCCCACGACCATGTCACCGAATCCAGACGCGTGTGATGAGGAATTACCATTCTCCGAAGGCGATACCATCAAGGTTTCACTTTCTGTTATAATTAAAGTTAAATTAAATCGTTTTATAATATGTAAAAGGAAAGAAGTTTTATTAGCTTCAATTTTATATAAATTCGTGTGCCGTGCGTTCATTAATACCGCACATTTGATTCACATTTATACTAAATTCTGTAAGATTTTTTAGGAACTATGCTGACAGAAGTTTTTACATGACAAAAATCTAATATAATAATATTTTATCGCACAGGTGTACGGCGAGAAGGATGCTGATGGTTTCTATTGGGGCGAATGCCGCGGTAGACGTGGATACGTTCCTTACAACATGGTGGAGGAACTTAAAGATCCACCGGGTCAAGGGGGTCAGCCTGGGGGTAGAAGGGGACCCACGCAGAGCGAGAGATGGGGGGACATTTATGCTAGTATGCCCGTGAAGAAGATGATAGCCCTCTACGATTACGATCCTCATGAATTGTCTCCTAACGTTGATGCTGTAAGACTTTTATCATAATATCGAAACTCATCTATTGATATTATTAATATCCACTTGGTTCTTAACAATTCGCCAATTAACCGTTATTAATTGATCGCAACAACTGTTACATACAACCAATTATTGCAGCAAGTCGAACTAACGTTCCAAACTGGAAACGAAATCTACGTCTACGGTGAGATGGACGACGATGGTTTTTACATGGGCGAGCTGAACGGTCAGCGCGGTTTGGTGCCGAGTAATTTCCTCACCGAAGCCCCCGGGCAGAATCAGGGACAACCGCCGCAGGGTAGCAGGCGACCCGGCGGCCAGAGTCAAGGGCCGGGCGCAAGAGGGCCGCCACCGCCTCCCCGGGAACCACCTCCGGCTGGTCACCGGCGTGGCAAAGGTAAACAGAACTAGCCGTCATTTATATCGAATCTTCCTTATATTGTGCCGATTATCAGGGCATGATTTGGATAGCTCCTCAAGCCAAGACGACATCGAAACTCGCGATATGTAACGGAGAAAAAAAAAGTTTGCTGCCTGAATTTACGTGCAAGAATCTTTCTTCTATCCCGGAAGACAGAATCTGCTTCAATATCGAATAATTGATTACGATAGAATAAATGAAATTTGGTTCGGCTTCACGTCGAATGCGGTAGTGGCGATGCGACAGCGAAATCCTTTTCCTCCGTGTGCATATTGATATCGTGCGACGTTTCCCAATTAAATGCCTTGATGTAACGCAGTGTTCGCAGTGCAATGTAAAAAAGAAAAACTGCAAAATCTTTAGAAGCTGAAAGTGATTAGTTTTTTTGCTGCAAGCTAGAGATTTGTTCGTGGATTGTTGTTCACAATTAGCTCTTCTCGCGACTCGAAGCAACGGGAGCAATGAGAGAATTGGCTCGAGGGGTTGTTAACGTGCGTTTTCACACCGAGGCGACGCGTTAATTGGTTCGTTTAAATGGAATCGGAATCCGGTCAAATGAAATAAAAAAAAAAAGAAATGCGCTGCATCGTTTAATGTGAAATTAAAACTTGAGGCGATATAGCGTCGCGTCGGTGTGTAAAACGTAAATACAAACGGCAAGCAACACAAGACACGAAATGTGCCAGACGACAGGCAGAAGGTCACACGAATATTATTAGCGTTGCGCAATCTGGCGAGTCCAAATCGGTAATGCAATTCGAGCCGAATGAGCATGCGGCGTATAATTAGGCGGAAGCATTTCTCGAGTACATTGCCCTCATGCGTGCCTTGACGAGGGGGACTCGTTGCGTCGCTTTCAGATACATGCCGGTTTTCTCGTAAAGTACATCGACACCACGCTCTCGTAGGCATTCCAACAACATTACAGTGCGAAATTATCGCCAGAGTCGTCAATGTAACAAATATGCACCGATAGAAGTTTTCCGTGTCACGTATGTACATAAGAATTGGTGAACGTCCGAGGAAACACGTGCTGTCATACACACGACGATATATATTATAGATTTATATATATATGCAATAAAACACCAAGCTGCTTTCAGTGTCTTCTATTAAGTATATATCTAATATATATATACGTATACGTATACTTATATATATTTTTTTTTCTCTCCGGGCACTATCTGCCTCTGTTACTATTACTCTATATACGTATCTGTCCTATTCTCTCTGTCTATATTATATACATACGTATTATATTTACACTATATATATATATATTTATATATATATATTTATCGACTGATTATATACACATGATCATGTTGCTGTGATATATAACAGTTTACTTTATACCGACATGATCTGTTTCTGTGTGCCTGAACTGATCGATGGTCGTCGTGTCACATGATTGTCGTTCGTGTCGTGTTGTCATGCTGGCCATTTACGATTACGTTGATTTTCCGTTTGATTCCACGATCGATCTAATAACAGAGATCGGCGACGCTCGCAATTTGAGTTCAGAAGCGCCTAAAAGTCAATGGCGACATCGTGGCTGATGAAAAACTTGCGTGACTTACAAGTCCGCGTCGAGTAATTTCGAAATTTTGCGCGATTGGAATGACGTATCAATCCACCAATCTGTCCACGTCTCGTTGCAATGTCAAAAGTTATATACTCCGGCATGCTCGATCGACTCGAAAGAAAAAAAAAGAAAAGTAAGAGATAAATGCGCCATGAATGACAACACGGTTCTGTTCTCTTCTCTGTTGCTAGATGCCTGCATTGTGCCTGTGTCTGTCCCTGTCTGTCACTTAGACTCTAGACAACTACAACAACCACCACCATCACTAATGAACAACCAACAACATCAACTACAACATCAAAACAATCCACCGCATCTAGCCTACCAACAAGCGAATCACCACAGCTACACGACCGTAACCACGTCCAATCAACATGGGCCCAGTCACTTGCCACCCGGCGGCGGTGTCATGGGTGCCCATCAGCAAGGTCCCGTACCGCCCCACCTTCAGCAACAGGTGAGCCCGCTCTCCTCTTCCAAAAATTTCTTCGTACGCTTTCTATCTCTCTTTCTCTCTCATGTGCTGCTTCTCGTCGAACGCGTGTGCTTTTGTCTATACTTTTTGTGCGCTTACTCAGGTACATCGACAGTCCACGATCGACAAATTCGCCGATGTTTTCTTTTTTTTTTTTTTCTTCTTGAAAGGAATGAAGAAAGTCAAATTTACACTCTATTGTTGAGTCTGAGATTTTTGAAACAAATTTATTATATTTTTTTTTTTAGATTAACGAAGTCTCTATTTGTTGTGCACTGTCATTTTTGCGCATCGAAGGATTATAAAACGTAGATATAAATAAGTTGAATTACAAAGAATAGAAGTTTGTATCGAATTATAGTTTTTATTTCTGTGCGTCTCATACATACTGCTTTCTGTGCTTCACTATCAGTTTTAACTCGTGACTCTTAATATTCTTGCTACGAATATTGAATGATATTTTTTCTTCTTTTGCATGAATGCAAAACATAATCTGAAGATAAATGAAGTATTTACAATCATACAAAATGATCAGTTTTTTTTTCAAATATCAATTTTCCGATGTAATGCGGGCTGAAAAGAATATGCAAAGTGATTTTTGCTAGAGGAATTTGCTTGGTTCAATACTTTTTGCATTTTGCTTAGTCGTGTGTGACTTGTGATTTTGCAAGCGTGAATCGTGCTTTATTGCAAAACACGCGTGCCGCGGCACGTGAGCTATATGTGTGTGTTTCGTGTCAGCGTGTGTTCGTACAAATGTGCCATGTAAACGCTTTAGATCGTGCAGCATGCTATAATATTTTATCTGGCTTTACTGGTAAAGTCATCTGGATTAAAAACCTACTACGATAGACTGTCATGGCGTGAATGACCGACACTGACACATATTCTGCAAGATTTATGACGAGTCAGAAATACGACACAAAAGATCTTTATAAAGTTCCGTCTATTCTTACGTTCTTCTTTAGATTATACATACGCCTCCGACTGCTAACAACTCTCTCTCTCTCTCTCTCTCTCTTTATTTTCTCTCGCCAATTATTTTGTACGATATAGAAGTACATAGAACGTCATATTCTCTTTCGAATTGCCGATATAATTTATATTTTTGTTAGCGAACTAGTAGAATCCTCGGAATGATAGAGCAGCCTCGTCTCTCGCAGAAGCGACACTAGCGGAAGTAAAACGATAGAACGCGATAGAATTAGGCGAGAAAAGAAATAGACACGGTTTTACGAAAAGTTCACTTTCTAGCGGCTCAACATTCCAGCAAGAACAAGACAATTTTTTCTTAGGGGGAGAAAGGACCGTTCGAATCATCCACGTCTCTCTGTTCTTTAGGGGAAGGGGAGGGGCGGCGTACTCAATCGGGTCGCTGGTAGTAACATGCCGGGTATGCAGGGCCCGGGCCAGCACCTCCAGCAGCCGGATTATCAGAGCCAGCAGCAGCCGAACCAGCCGTACCAGCAGCAACAGCCGAATCAAGGATACCAGCAGCAACCGCAGCAACCGTTCCAGCAGCAGCAGCAGCAGCAGCAGCAGCCGGGCCAGCAGTTCGCGCAACCTAATCAATCGGGGATGCCGGGTATGCAGGGTATGCAGGGTATGCAGGGTATGCAGGGCCCTCAGAGCACCAGCAAACCCATGAGAGGAATACCGACGGTGCTGCCGACGGCGCAGTCCAAGGCCAATCCTATGCAGGGCCAGCAGCAGCAGCAGCAGCAGCAGCAGCAGCAGCAGCCGCAGCAGCAGAGCACCGGGCCGAATCGTCATGCAGAAATTCACGGAGATGGCGGGCGCGAGCGCCGGCGGTGACATACTGTCCAAGGGTAAGGAGCTAATCTTCATGAAGTTCGGATTGGGCAAGTGAGAAGGAGCGATCGTTGACGACGTAACGACGACAACGATAAGGATGACGATGATGATAACGACAGCCCGCGGCTGTTTTCGTTTCTTCCTTGTCGCGCTCGATGTCCACATTTGACACGCGCGAGTCGATCCCTCGGCGAGCCGTGTGAATCAGTATTACGACGAACGGCGGAGGATACGTAACGGAGGCGCGATTTCGCCGGACGTCGAAGAGATAAGGCGAATCGGACGAAGAACATGCACCGCCATCGCTGCTGCTGCTGCTGTTGCTGCCTGCAATAAAAAAAAAAAAAAAAACGATAACTGCTGCAAAAAAGAAAAAGAAAAGAAACCGTCACTGGACAAATGTTCAAAGACAAGTCTCACGATGAAGAAAGGGAGAAAGAACAATTCGGCGGAGACTGCTCAAGGTGAGGAAGAAGAGGTCCACACTAAGAATCGACGATTTCATCGGTCGGAGGAGAGATACGAGATACGTACGAGATTCATCAAACTTCTTAATCTTCCCTATCCGAAATTTTCTTCTTCTACTTCGTCTTCTTCTTCGCGCGACGGTAGGATCCTCGATCGGCGCTGCACGGTCCGTTAAAATTAGTCGCGAGATCTCCCTCTTACACGAGATTGTCGCGAATGTCAAGGGATGCTGATCTGCGAAGTGTGTTTCGAGCGATTCGGGCGACGGTGCGCCGTGTCTTGTAAATTGCGTATCCGCGCCATTGTTTCTTCCAGTCTCTCTTCGTTCTCTTCGAATCTCACGTCATTCGAAGCGTCACTTGGTTTTCGAAGAAAACGTCCGCCGCGTGGCGGAATCGTGTCGAGGGAAGGGATTAATATAAACTCCAGAGAAAAGGAAGAAAAAGAAAAAAAACAAATCATTAGTAAGGCAAAAAACTAGAGAAACCGAAACCGGAGATCTTCTTCGTCAACGTAGATTGAAGAGAAAGATAGAGGCCGACCTGCAGAGGAATTATCATATCGCCGTATAGAAGTGGGGACGCGACAACAAAAAACATGGGTGTGCCTTGGAGAACCGTCTCACCCAGCACAGTAACCAAATGATCATATCTCTAATCGATAACTCTCTAGCTATTTTTTTCTCCTCGTGGAAATCGAGCGCGCGCGCACACTTCTATATCGAGAGAATCGTGAACGGCGCACAGCACGAATAAAACGATCCTCTCGTCTTGACAATTTTCTCTTGTTCCCGTATGTGCGTGTGTATGTGTGTGAGACTGGATGCCCCCTTTCCCTTTCCTCCCCCCCCCTCTTCGCGTACCTCTACACCTCTTTCCTCCCCTCATATCCCGCTTTTATTCCAGCATCCCCTCGGATGAACTTGCGCGCGTGGAATTGTCGCGTCCGGACCGAGGCTCGAGATCTCTCTCTCTCTCTCTTCTTCTCTCTCTCTCTCTCTCTCTCGGTCCGCGCGTTCTCGGCCGCCCGGATGAATCTCGGGATCGCTTCGTTCGAGGGAATCGAACGAGCTGACTCGTAAACGATGTCCGAGGATGAACAACGACGGAGCCGTTTTTATCGTCGGGCCATTCTAAACGGCGCACAATAATAGAAACCGAGACAGAATGTGGCAGACACCAATGAACAAGTAGATGCGAAGCACTACTCTCGATCGTTCGATCGGGCCGCGAATCGAACGGCAACTCTATATCATAATTGTGTGTGTGAGAAACAGGCGGGACGAAACAGGAGATTATAGTGCGTACGCGTAATTAAATGATAACGGGATATACATATATACATATGCATATACAGATATACATATATATACATATACATATATACATATATTATATTTAACTATTGCAAAGTGTTGTTACATCGCTACTTGTATCGTATTTTGTACAAAGTATCTTTACCTTCGATTGTTTTCTTTCGCCAAGATATCTTTAGCGAGAAAAATACGGCGGAGGAAGAGCGACGAATTTTTTCCGGATCCACTGTCGAGTCGTTCATCGTCATCGTCATTATCAT